AATGAGTAAAAAATTGGAATGAGTCATTTGTGATAGTGAACGGAGGTGTAGCCAAGATTTAGAGGAATTTAAGGGTTAAGGACCCACATTGTGCATGACAAGAAAGATTGAATTTATGAATTATGGCCATGTTCGTATTTCCAGTTCCTCGTGATTTTGAAACGTTCAATATTCCTTAGAAACAACTCGAGTGACGATTTTAAAAACAGACGTAATGGAAACTTTTTAAAGCATACATATTTGAAGTGTTAATGCCCAATAAAAAAGGTTTGACGCATTTTCTTCAAAAAATAATTACTCATGCCTGGTTCAAATGAAAAACAACATACAGTGAATCTTACAATTATCACTGAGTAACCAGCAAGTCTACATCCTTATCACAAACTTTTACAACTCACATGCTTTTTTTTCTCATCACGTTCAGCTCAATATTTTTGCATTAAATAGAAATTGCAATAAAGATAAGAAACTGCCATTTAATTAAAGCTCATCTACCGAAAAACAAGCTCTAAACTTCCCTCAACTGAGTTATGAATAAATATAATTTATAATTATCACATCATATTCAGCATTTTATTAGCTTCTGTGTCTAGTCAAATCAGTTAATATGTGAATAAGCATCTGGTTGATATGAGAGACAATTATCAACGATTTATAGTTTGTGTGACTTTTTTATGCCTTATTTCGCACCTATAAATGTGAAATCATTGTCAAAAATTTTTTGCAAATTTTTCCGTACATGAAAAGATGTGACAACGACGATGACAATTTTGTTTATTCATCACACTCAAAATAAGTGTTAAAAAATTTAATTTTTTATTTTTTTCACGTTAGCGCACATCACACATAGCTTCAACGTCAGTCAAAAAAAAATTATTTCTTCTTTCAACTTTTGTCGGCAAGATAGTTTTGATCGTTAACGTGGAAAAAAAAAAATAAAATAACATACGAAAATATAATTTTTTTCCATCAAATAGACACGATGTCGGCGAAAAGTCATAGAACATCAAAAAAAAAATCGAGTAAGTGAAGACACGTCAAGAAGGTGGGCGCATACGTGACGTGCTGATTGAAGAAAATGAAGCAATAAGTTTGTCTCTTTAAATCATAAATTATTGTTCACACATGCGACGTTCTTATCTGCTTGATTGGAATATCAGACTAGATAATGGTAAATTTAAGGTAGTCAATTTTCGAGTGAATGTTGTATTTTTGTGGATTATTTGGATTAGGGGTTTAGGATGAGTGGTTGAATTATTGTACCTTGATGTTTTTGGGGGGTCTGAATGCCTTTAACTAGGTTTATGATTATAAGATGATTTTTAGAATTTTTCAACCTAAATTCCAGGATTCAAACTTAAAAATCATCAATAAAATTGAGAAAAATTTCTAAGCTCCCCTCAAAGTCTCTCTGAATTAAATCCCCTCCCCTCCATATCCGAACATCTTCAACTCCAATCAATTCCCGCAAAAACAATGCAAACTCTTTGTCATCGATTCTTTATTTTTAACCGTATGACAAGTAAAACAGCTCTTGTTTGATGACAAGCCTTATAACTAATTTTATATCACCATATTATCAAGAACTGAAGGCGGCATGATAAGAAATAAAAAAGCAAAGAAAATTAAATTTTTGGTAGCAATTTTTTTTTTGCTTTCGTATGTTTAAAGTTCTTATCACATCAGACAAATAATACCGACCGATGTTCTATATCTACTTGATATAAATATAAAATATAATTTATAGTTTGATTATTGAGGTCTTTTAGAAGTAAGCAAGCTATAAGTCATTTTGTGATAACAACATGATGTGTTTGAGACTGTTATGGATGTATGACATGATGCGCATTTGAATAAATTTGAGTTTTAAAGCTTTATATCCTAATCCACAAAGATTTGAGAATGAGTTTGATGATATGAGGAATACTAAGCAGAGATCTTGGTTTTTGTGGATTATAAGACACTCCTTCTCCTATATAACGATTTCAAACTAAGCACCATAGTCGCTAAGATACCTATACGTTACTGTATTGCCAGTATAATGACAAAAATGCCTTGCCCGAATGACACAAGTCGAATAATCGAATTGAAATCCGGTGCTTAGCCGGTATGATTCTGGCTTGGTGCTGGCTTCGATTTAAAACCAGCACTATGCCAGAGTCACACCAGCTTAGTGCCAGATTTAAAATTAATTAACAGACTTGCACCATTCGGGTTGATCCAACGAATGAAGTTTAAAGAAGTCCCTAAAACCACCCCCAACCCGACAAACCAACATCAACTCCTCAACATACATAACCAAAATGTTGCACCCCAGAAAATACGTTAGTAAAATAATAAGCAATTGAAGCTTAAAAACTCGTGTTTGATTTTACTGTCACGAATGAAGCGCGCACCAGTAAGAATATGATTATCATGAATGGTTTAATAAACCATTAAAAATACAATCAAAAGAATTATTTTGTGGAAAAATAAGTTCGATCGATAAAAGCATTATGATATCTCAATAATTGCCTCATTTGGAATTAAAGTATCAAAATTAATGTACACAAAAAAAAGTATCTACAATCAATAAGCTTTATTTAATTTTGTAAGGAAAGTAAAGTGCTTTACAGAAGTCAGTTATTACGTTTGATTGAATAGACGAGGAAGAAAGGTAAATCGATCAATCATAATTAACATCAAGCTTTGATTTCGTTCCGTGAGTTCTAAAATCAATTTAGAAATGAAATTCTTCTTTATGCTTCCGTTTTTATCAAATTTTCAAGTTGTTTGGCGATCAATTAAAATTTTCGGTGGATCTTAATTAATTTTATTTGGGTTTTTACGTGCAATTTGCTGTACGTTTTGATGAATTAGTGCGCAAAATGAAGCTACGAATTAATTGGCAATATTTCAGAAGATGTTTGATAGAGTTTGTCGGCAAAATTCAATTGATTTCAATTCGGTGGAAAACAGTGTGTTTATCACTTTACTACCTTTTTGTGTTAAAGATTGACAACCACTTGAAAGTGTCTTTAATCTTGCTTTTTTTATGGAAAAGTTGTTAAAATGGAGGTTTGGGATTGATAGAATATGAATTCAATCTAGAATATTTGTATTAAAAATCTATTAAAACATTTAATGATGATTTATCTCAAAAATAGGATAGAATTTTTTTTTAACCTCAAAATGACCTAATTTGAGAATAATACTTAGAAAATTGTGATGACAATGTTCAATAAACTAAAGCTTTCAATCAGTTTATGAATCGAAACATAAATTTAAGCCATTGACACGATTTTCTTGAGATTGTGGTTTCAAAAGTAATCAAATATTTCAAAACCATTTAAAAACTCTCAATCTTCTTTCAATATCTAGAAAAATGGATACCACATGTACTTATATAAGCTATAGACACAGATTTTGAATTTCTTTAAGTAAATTTCGATTTTTTCAAATCAAACTTATATTAAGGGGTCCTTCACTTATGACGTCCGATATTAACGGTCAGTTTTCAAAAAAGAACAATGGAAGTCCAGGAATTTCTATTGTTTTTTTTTGCTGATCTTCCTTGCCCCCCTGGACGTCATAAGTGAACGGGCGCTAATGCATATAAAATCTATAATTATTGATGTTTAACATCTTAAAATTCATGATTTTTTTTTTATTTCGATGAACTTACAAATCAATTGTGATCCATGGCCTTCCTAAGATGCCGTCTAAAACTGGCTCTATAGGTTGCTACCGCTTGCCAATTTCCTTTACCAAATGAAACTATATTTTTACCAAATGAATATTAAAATTCATGAACAAATTCTATTAATCTGCTCACTCTAGTAGCTCTTCTTAGAAACTAAATTCAACTGTCCCATAATTTTTTACTGATTCATATGCAAGATAAAATATTTTTTTATTCAACTCATAAATCAACTTTTGTATATTGTCAAAAAAGTATTGTACCACAGTTGTGTTTCTGTATCTCTATGCTGTAAAATAGAATTGTGACAGAATCAAATGTCCCATGTCAATAATTTGGAGATTCAGGGGCTCTCAATTTATAAACAGCTTATTGTGTCTTTTGTGTTGACAAAATAGGGGCGAATTGTTTTTTATGGAGCAGTTGGGTAACTGTAAGGTTCTTAAACCTGTCAATTAAATAATTTGGATTCTTGGAATTGAAAGAGTGTCCTTTGAATTTGAAGAGAATCTTGATTAAGTGTAATTTTAGGATTAGAAATTTAAGTATTACTCTTTTTATCGAAGATGTTGTTTCGTTAAGCTAGTAAGCTTGCAAGAAGTTCGAATTCTACTTAAAACTATAGGTACAATAGATTTATAATTGCAGTGCCTTCAACTCAAAAGACTGATCCCTTCAAACATTGTTATTATTTAAGCTAATAGTTTAATAGTTTAACACAAAATTGATGAATTTTCAAATCTCCTTAGTTCTTCACTTGGATATTATCATCCAATCTACTAAAGTATCAAATAAACATTTCCGTTCCACACTTCAATCCAAACAACACCTCGAAATTACAATAATCTCCATAAAATTATAAAATTCTAATCAATCATATCCATTACACATTTTACAAAGCAATCAACAATATTTTAGACATGGATGTACAATTTAAAGCAAAAATCATGTCAATGATAATTTTTCCGGTAGCAAAAGAAGTTCAATTTTTATTTTTGAAGATTTGCCGACTTTGCCGACATCCACACAAAAAAAAACAGCACCGTCGAAAAGTTTGTTGTCTTAATCAAATTTTATTGCCCCCCTTTTTTTGAAATAAAAGCAGAAAAATAAGTAAACAAGGATTGTCTAAAATATAAATTTTGTTGTTATTATTTTATTATCCTCCCTTAAAAATGATCCATTACAGTACTTGCTAAAAAAAAGACATGCGCAGTATTATTGCCCATATAACCATCTTTATTCAATACATTACAGTATTTGCTTGTGTATTCAATCATAAAAGGTTCATGAGACCTTTTATTTCTCTACCTACCAGATAATTTTTCAACTATGCGAGGTAAAAACTCAGTAAAGAATAAAAATGGGCGGGATTTGAATGAAAATACATTGATAACTAGCTAGACATGTGTGAGTGTGTTCTCATTTGTCCCTCAATAGACTGTACATGTATCTATTTTTTATGTCTGTCTATTATTCGTTTATTTCTGCTTTTTGGGGGATATGAAATATACTCAATATAGGCATATTATAGTTTAGTCTTTCAAATAACATAGACAACAGCACATTGTGTGTCAGAGACACGAGAATTTATATTTTTTTTTTACTTTCTGCCTTCATTTGTGTGTAGAAAGAAAAACGAAAGAAAAGGAAAAGAGAAGAAAAAAAAACAGAACACAGAAGTTGAAGTTACTTCCCTAGAAGTATTTGATAGTAGCAAATCAGTTGATATTTTTAACTTGTTGTCTAAACATCTCTATAGTGTAGACACACAGAAAAAAAAAATAGAAAAGTAATAATTTACGTACGATCAATCTCCTCTTCTTATTTCTCATTTTTTCAACAACGTGAAAAGACGTGGATTCGGAGATTATTAATAATCATTCACAGTAAAATAATTTATCTTCAGCTGCGCTTTTGAACCGTGAATGCAAAAAGTTTTTATGTGAGAAAAAAAATATTATTATAATGCAAAAAGAAGTGGAACTGGTTTGAGTCAAAACAAAAAAAAAGTGAATAAATATTTTTAAAAGGAATTTTATTGAAGAATTTGAGAATTCCATGAACTTAATGATGTTACATTAATTTACAAAAATAAAAAAGTGAAGAAAATAATATTTTAGTGAAAAAGAATCACGGAACAGAACTTTATTTGAACTTATAAGAAAAATAATAAAATATAAAAAATCATGTCTTTAAAATCATCATCATCATCTTGCAGTGATATCAGTATTGATGAAATTCGATCTCGTGAAGAGACAGGTATGTTAATGAACCGACTTGAATTCTTTAAATTCTTTTGGATTTTAATCGTTTGCTTCGTCTGGAGTTAACTTGGGATAGTTGGGGATCTCTAGTGGGTGTCTTAAAGATTTTTAAAATTCCTGAAATTCAAACAATTTTGAGGCTATTTCAATTAAATTATGAACTCCCGTCGATACTTTTCTAGACCAAGTCTTGCACTAGCTTCGTTCAATTTTCAGCAAATTAAAAAACAATTTCTAAAAAAAGTAAAAAATTTGCCGTAGGGAAAATGAACATTTCACTTACAAAACAGCACAAACTTTTTCATTAAGCAACTCAAGCACAATATTTACAATAAATCGTTTCCACAACACTTTAATTTGCGGCGTTGAGCGGACCATTATCATCTGCTGCCACACACTTCTTCTTATTATTTTTCTCTTAAACAAGAAATTTGTTTTGGAATCTTTGAGAATTGCAGAGAAGAAATAAAAATATTGTGGGAATTATAATCAAAGCTCGAATATTTTAGACTCTTTTGGGAACGCGACAAAAATTCCAATAAAATTCCATCCATTAAAAAATTCAACTCAAACTAATCAAATCCTTCAATCATTTCACAGAATATACAACAGAATTTCCAACAATCAAAGAAGAGCCACAAGCGACAGCCTCACCAATGCTAACGCCACCTCATACACCAACGGAAGACAGCACACGACATCATCAAACGTCTTCCACAACATCCTCATCATCCGCCTTTTACGAATCAATGGAGTCAATGAAGAGCGAGTCAAAACAGTCACTCATTGATGGTGGCAATTATCAACATCACTTTTATCATGCTGCTGCTGCTCATCCAGCATTTACAGCACAGAGAATGTGGCAACAAAATACAGCACATTTGCCATTGGCTGCTGCTGCGGCTGTTGTATCGACAACAAATTCCCAACCATCATTACCACATGCTGTTCATCCATATGGTGCAATTGCTTCATATAATCAAATGCATCAACATCATCATCATCCTCATCCGCATCAGCTTCCATCGACAGGACCTACAAGTGCATCTGCTCAACATCATGCTGCTTTAATGAGTCAATGGATACGTAGTGCTGCGATTTATCATCAACAAATGCATCATCGTGGCTATCCTGATTATCAGCGTCTACCATCAGTAGCACGTAATGCATTAGGTCCATTAAAAATGACTGGAACGGCAGGAACACGTCCAAAGAAGCAATTTATTTGCAAATATTGTAATCGACAATTTACCAAATCTTATAATTTATTGATTCATGAGAGAACTCACACCGATGAGCGTCCATATGCCTGCGATATTTGTGGAAAATGTTTCCGACGTGCTGATCATTTAAGGTAAGATTTAAAAAAAACAAATTTGAAATGAAATATTGGAGTACTAATGGCTATTTTATTTTTTATTTCCATCCATCAACAGAGATCACAGATATATCCATTCCAAAGAGAAACCCTTTAAATGTACAGATTGTGGCAAAGGATTTTGTCAATCGCGAACATTAGCCGTACACAAAGTGACACACCTAGAAGAGGCACCACACAAATGTCCCGTCTGCAACCGAAGCTTCAATCAACGTGCAAACTTAAAAACTCACATGCAAATTCATACAAACGGCGAACATCAACAAGAGCAAGAGCAATCATCGTCAGATCCAATTTTGGATTTATCACAAAAGTCATCAACACCATCGCCACACAAGAGTCATACAAATCAAACTGGCAATATCATAAATAAGAAACCACTTGGATTTTCAATCGATGAAATTATGAGACGATAAAATGACACAACGAAGTTAAAGAAGAAATTGAAAGAAAAGAAGTAAATCTGACATGACACACACAAGAAGATTTAAAAGAAGAAATAAATAAATAAGTAAATATATTGATGTTCCTTTTTTAGCAAAGAGAAGTAAAAGAAAGCGTCGACATTTGTGTTTGAGGGCATAAAGTAAAAAAAAAAAAAGAAGAGAAAAAAAATTATTTTTTTTGTTACCTTAAAAAAATTCATGAAGCGAAGATTTTTTTTTGTAAAAAGAAAATAAATCCAAAAATGTAGAAATGTGTAAGCCAAATTAGCACTTCCACAAGATAAACTCTCAAGTACATGAAGATTTAAAATTAACAAGTATGATAGTCACAATGTGAAGATGACAAATGCGCATTTTCATATTGAGAGCTTTGGTCAAAAAAAATTAAGAAGCTAGCTAGACTTAGCAGATCCAAAATTGTTTATTTAATTTTTATAGTTTCAATGGCAAGACTGATATTAAATGTTAAATTTCTCTCTGATCGCCCCATCCCAAATTTTTTACTTCCATTGTGTATGAATTTCCTATAATTTAATCAGCCAAAAGTGACCAAAATTATAATTATTGTAAATATAAATTTATTATTTTATTATTATTATTATTATTTTAATTGTAAATTGATTGACTATAATTTTAACTTTAAATTGTAATTTTAATTTGATCTCAAAAAATTAAAAAGTCGCGTGCCGGACAGCGTATGTATGAGAGCTCCATTTCCACTAATTGTAGAAATATAATAATACAAAAAATATACAAAATTGATGTAAAATATGAAAAATAAATGCAGGATATATTCAAAGGAATTTAAACAAAATTAAATTAAATTGTTTTAATATAATATTTATTTTTTTGGGAATTTTCAAATTTGTTTTGTTTCAGTTTTAGTGAGGTTTGATTGAGTTATAGATATTAGAATCTAGAAGGCTCTAGTAGGTACCAGAAGATACTAGTAAATGCTACGAAATATTAAAATCTAGTTGTTGCTAGTTCCCTAGCTAATATCGTTTTAACAATAAATCTTTTGATAATTATTCCAGATTGACTAACCTTATGATAAGTTCATAATAAATCCTAATAATCCAACCTAAGAACCATCCAGTTTCAAACATTTTTACAAAATAAATCTCACATCCCATCTTGATCTCAATCTTTCAACACAAAAACAATCGCGTGACAAAAAAAATCTTCAAATAATTTTAAACACAATTTAATTTGAATCCTCTTTAAACTTCACCATGTGCGACTCACTTATAATGATTGTCTAATAATCGTCTTTAAAATTGGGTCAGAGTAATAAAAGTTTGAACAACTGCATCACGATTTTTGAAGCTGCTATTATTTTATATTGATTAAAAGTTTTATTAACAACAGTTGGAATTAAGATGTGATTATGAAGTTTAAGGATTTTGTAAATTTGGTGAGTTTGTGGATTTTTCAAGTTTTTAATTATGCTTAACATTGAATTTATTGATTGATTTTTGATATTTCGTGATTTTGGGGATGAAAAGAATGTTTGAGTTTACAAAATGCTCAATGGTTAACTTCCAGCTATCTTTAACCTCAAATTTTCAAAGAATCAACTTAAAACTCTTTGATTGATGATTCAAAAATTCATCAAAACTCAAACAATCCCTATAAACTATAGAACAAGCTTCAGAACCATCAAAACTCACTTCAATTCAAATCAAAAATGTGAGAAAATCTAAAAAATAATTAAGTTATCAGTGACAAACCAAAAACTCATCACAAAACAACAAAATTCATTAAAAAATTAAGATTAAAGTCACTTCTTTTCCACATCGTCACTTCCAGAATAGACAACATTGTTGAAGAAATAAGTGAGGTGAAAAATGTGAAATGTATGTAAAGTTATTAAAAGAATTTATTAAATGAGAAAAGAAATGAAAACAAAAGTAAATAAATAAGAAAAAAAGGTAGATATTAAATTACAAGTCTATGTGTTCCTAGATCCAGCAACTCAACCATATGAGTTTAACAAGTAAGTGTCTAAAATGATAATTTATATTAGGTCGCTGCTACAGTACAGAATTTAACTTTAATAACACATTGTCATGCAAGCGTATGGTCATTTGGGAATCATGAAGCTCTTCCTACCATTTAGTTGATGAGAATTGAATGTGCTACTATGCGGGGCACTGAATATATTTAAATAGGAAGTTTTCATTGCTACTCCTGTCAAGGAAGTAAATTAAATTTGCATATTGTGTTTTGTCTACAAATAAGGCTCTGAAGGAATTAATTTTTAAATTGAGTCTAGGCTAGTCTTTGCATGTGTGTAAAACTTTAGCCTAAATCCTATTCCATCTACCTGGCAACATGACATCATTGTTTATTCAAAAATCCTGATTTCTTCAAAATAAATAACAAGTTCATGTCTCCATGTCATTCGCAAAAATTGCAGATAAATCTGCAAATTAAAAAGTCTCAAATTTCAATGCGGTTAGCCAGTGTCAATGTTGTATATGCAGATGGATATTTTAATTAAATTTTATTGATTGACCTTCATGGTTCACTTGAGATCATGTGCCAGACATTGTTTTAAGTAGTTTTTGTAGTTAATACTGTTGTTTTGGTGTTGGAAATGATTTGAAAGAGTTTGGCTGGAAGATTTGATGCTCCTTTAAGTTTACTTCAATAATCAACAGCACTGACAATCCAGAAGGCGCCAAAATCTTGAAAATTTCAAAGGTGTGTCAATCAAAACCACCTCAAGTACTGCTCCAATCTCTCCCCCACTTTTTGCACAGATATACTTTATTTATGATTTCGACACATGTACCATAAATCATCTCGCAAGATTATCAGTAACAACACAGCGTGGCTGTTGATAAAAATAAAATCCATGTCTGAGAGCCGTGATGGAAATTTAATTAGCTACCGTATTTGAACAATTTTTTTTCTTTTTCGCCCTATAAATTGAACAGCATTTGATGATCCGATCGACAAAAACACTTACAGTAGTCGTAAAAATTCTTCATTTTTTTTCTTCATATCAAGTTTCGAGAGAAAAACAAAATTTCTTATCAAATTTGTGATAAGATTCGAAAATTATTAGCGACACATTGCGGCATGTATGATAGAAAAAATTGACAATATTTTCAGTGTAGAAATTATTTTTTCATCGGAATCACCATCATTAAGTTGTCATTGCTATAATTTAAGGGGCAATTTTCAAACTTTCAACTTGTCAGTCACTATAAAACCTTTCTTTATTGATTTTACTAATAATTTAATCATAGCTTATAGAAAAAGGAATTGAAGCTTCCTTCGATTCCAATCTGGTGGCAATTTTTGTTTGCCTTTGGGTTCCTTTTTCGGATGTCAAGAATTATGATTATGAATTTATGATGATAGACATTCATAAATTATTGCTGATTTGATAAAAAAAAAAAGGGAAAGGAGGATGAAATTGGTCAGAAACGGCAGTCTAATTGCAGGAAGGCATAATTCTGTATCTTCAATGAAATATCGCTTCTATAAATTTATTTATTTTTGTATTGAAGATTTTTGACAAGCCCAAGTGACTGTCGATAATTTGACACTTAGTCCAACTAAGTTTCTTCAATTTTTTAGTCAAAAATGCGTCTATAAATCCATCTAACTTGCATCATCGAACTAATCCAAACCAAACCTCCAAAATTTAAGGTCTATACCCAAAATCGGTGGATATTGATGAGCAATAGAGAAGTGAAACCTACAATTAGAATGATTGATATTTCTACAGCACTTTTGTGCATGGGAACCACGACTACAATAATTTATATCGTCGTCTACTCTTTGGGATTCAAATTTTATCTCAAACACATTCCACTGAGACCAATCAAGTCCCTCAAATTGCATTTCAATAATTGCCTTCAATTAGTTTCACTGGAAATAAATTTTCATTTTTCTGTGTTTGATATTAAAATATTTTATTTTCTAGAAATCAACGAATATGCAATCAACTTTCAAAGATTGGGATCAATTACAGTCGAAAAAAGGGAAAAACAATCAATCAAACTTAAGATTCAACTGTGGGGAAATAAAACATGAAATCTGTGTTTTTTTTGGCTGTGTGAAAAAAAAATATTTGAGACTGATTGAGGTGTTGATGGGTGCTGTGAATGGATAGGCGCATCTAGTTCATAGTCTAGCCATCGATATTTGTCGTGATTTCATTAATTAAGTTTTGTATTGAATATCATCTAGTTTTAAAGTTGACAAAACTAAAGCTCGAAACTGAGCAGAAGTGCTTGCAAAAATTAATCTGTGTCGAGGCATAGCTAGGCTGTCTAGACTGTATTTGTAGCTTTTCAGTTGAACCTAGCTTGAGTTTAGTATATGTACCTAGTCACAGACACGCAGACTAGCTACTTCTACTAGTGTTCTTAGCTTCTTTGTTTCTCTTCCTTAATACGCCAAGCAATTTCCCGTCTTCCAACAGTCAGCAGCTATACCTTTATCAACTCATTCCATTCAATCCAATAATCAAGCACTTATCATCACATTATCTCCAAAATTAAGCTTCAGCCTCTTTTAATTCATTCATTCGTGTAATTTGAGACGACGATACTCAAACGATACAAATAAAAAAATAATCCACAAATGCACATATTGGGTAGGTGAGCACATATAATCTCATGACAACAAAGCCCAAATGGGAATTTTAAAGAAAGCTGAGAATTGCGTGCTAATAATTTAAATTTTATAAATCAATCATGATGTCTATTTTCCGAGTCTTCTAAAAAAGATGAATGTGAATTTTATAAAAAACACTGGAGAGGCTGTGTTCATCCATAATTGTCTCTGATTATACATGAAGATCGTTTTTAGCTAGAAACTTATCGCGCCCACTCGAGCACGGCTATGTTGTGTGCTCTTTAGCAATAACAAATTATCAGATATAAAAATAAAATTTAATACGGTTTATGCTGGCGATTTTGCCAAAATTGGAATGAGAGAGAAGAGACGATTGCATGTCGTGGCTTCATTTTCTGATTAAAGCTCATTCAAATGATTATCATTTTGTGGGTACGCTTTGCTGCTTGCTGATTATCATTATTAAAGGAATTTTATATGTGGGCATCGGCTCTGTCATTATTCGCATGAAATGAATGCAGTTCCAGTGAATGTGATTTACTTGACTTGCTCGGAAATCTAATTTTCGGTAATTATTGATCGGTGGCTTGATACATTTTATCTGGGTTGAATGGGCAATGATCCAAATGGTTTATGATCTTGGATTTTATAGCTTTATGTTCATAAAGCAAGTGAAATCATGATTTGAAGCTGGAATTGCATCAGACACCGTCGGAAATGCAAGAATTTATTGTTTCGTCGATTTTATGGAAAGGATCAATTGTCCTTAAGTGTAACTTTACTTTCCTTTAATTATAAAATTTGTGTTTTACGTTTAATTTAAGTGAGTATTTTTATTATTTAATTAATTTATAATTTTTAGAAATTATGTGTTTCTTTACACTTTGGACTACGCTTTTAAAAAAGGGGGCTCAACATTCGAGCCAATTTGCCATTGCAAATTGAAATATAAAAATGCCGTTACAGTTCAAAGTGTAGGAAATCGTTAAAAATGTATATATTTTAAAGCAAGATAACTTTAATTGATTTACTGTGTAATTATTCTTGTAATTAAAATGTAATTAAATGAACCTGTCATTCTTGTGATGACATTCTGGGGGGAGGGGCAAAGGCCAAATAGATTATTCGGATTCTAATGCAACATCTTCATCAATAAGTAGACGCTGATCGCTGTCGTCAGAATCAGTACTCGAGTCTGAGCTTAACTCCACTTGTTTTGATGAACGACGCTTCTCTGTCAAATCATAAACTATTCGTTTAGGTCCTTCTTTCTCAGTTGCTGCTTTGATATTTATTTTTAAATTGATATCACTATCTTTATTGATTGCATGCTCTTTATTCTTGTCTTTTGTTGCTGTACGAGTCAGCTTAGCTGGCTTGAAAGATGGTTTAAATGATACCTTTTGGATTGTTGATTGGACTTTTAAAGGCTTGATACTACTTGTTGATGTATGACGTTCATTACTATTATTCGCGGCGACTATTGGAAATCGAATTAAGGATGTATCTCCAGTATACTCATCAACTTCATTACGACGAGGATGGTCAAATGGTGCTTGTTGCTTCACTATTAATTGATTGTGACTTTCGATTTCTTCAGACCACGGTGCGACGTTATTGTTAAGTCTGAACGTTTCAGACGTGCGCATGATTAAAGGAACATTTTTGCTCATTGAAGCTTCTATTTCCACTCCATAAACGCTATGTTTAATAGGCTCCAGTTCACCTGCGAATAGTTTTGCACTATTTTGATTCAGGTATGTGACATAACAATCATTTCGGCACTTTTTCTTCTTATTATCATAGCCAAGTCGGATGTATGTGACAGTCTTTTGCGCATCAAAATGAATCAACATTTCCATTAATAGTCTTGTAAATCCTTCTGCTGGTTTGATTCTAGGCAGACCCTTCAGGTAAGTTGCGACTGGAATCTTCTCATACTTTCCTGCATAGTTGATATCAGGCAAAGTTGCTCGTGATAAAATTGAGTCCACAATAGTTAAGAGCTGAGAATCGCGACCATCATCCACGAATTGTATTGGTATCTGATGAAGGAATTCCGCATCGCCTCTGTTTGGTGTGATATAATAGACGGTTCGGCCTAACCTCTTGGTATTGTAATCAGCATTGCGTGCCACGCCAATAATGGATCTAGAGTATGGTTCTATCACCTTTGCCATATCCCTTAACGAGAGTGATGTGGGAATATTATCAACTCTTAAGACGTAAAATGGGCTTGCCAAATAATTAAAATAAGAGACTGGAATCTCTGCCATCTCTTCTGAAATTAAAAAAGCAAAAATAAAATACATTAAATATCTCGTTCTGCACGAGTCTTTACAAATATAAATTTTAGTGTGGTTGGAATAAGTTGTCGTTATGCACGAACTGAGTATTAATAAACTTATTATTTCTAATATTGAGTAACTATTCTTTTGAGATAGTCACATCTTTTTTATCTCAATCTTTGCTACTCTTCGCGCGCTACGATTCTTTCGAATCGTTCCATCTGATAACATTACGTCAACAACTCTAACGTGCTTGTCTTTTGCTTCATAAATCTTAATAACTCGAGCTCTTTCCCAGGCTTTGCGTGTTGTGTTAGGATCAATCAGCAAAACTAAGTCTCCTGTTTTGATTGGTTCGAAATTCTTGAACCATTTGGTTCTCTTTGCTAAAACTGGCAGATAATAAGTGTTAAACTTTCTTGTCATTTCTTCAGCTAGGATCCGACCTTTCCGGTATTGATTCTTGTCACTCAAGGGGTCAGGAATATCCTTCATGCCGTGGATTGATGGCAGCAATGGCCATCCACTTCTATTCTTGGCTAGATGATGCGGTGTTAAAACTTCTTCATCCTCCGTACCAATCGGATTATGAGTTAATGGTCGATTGTTGATTCTATGTGCTGCATCTTGTAGAGCTATATTAAATTCCATTCGAGAGATTTTCTTTCCTTCTATTGCTGATGCTATTGACTTCTTCACGGTCTGTATCAATCGTTCGTAGAATGCTCCAAACCAAGGAGATTGTACAGGAATGAATGTCCATGATACATACATTTCTTCAGCCAACTTCCTTTGCAGATCCTTTTCTGTTTGTTCCATCCAAGAGATTATCTTCTTTCTATCACTCTTAATAATATTCGCAGCACCAACGAAGTTAGTTCCGTTGTCACTGATAAATTGTTTAACGGGTCCATGACTTGACCATAATATCATGATTGCTTCTAATACAGCTAATGACGACATCTCATCTAAAATATGTAAATGTATGAATCTGGTCACTGTACAGGTGAAGATGAGCAGCCACACTTTCTTTTGATGTCCGTTCTTTGCATACACTGTAAATGGTCCAGCGCAATCTAAGCCGGTCACCTCAAATGGCTTGAGTGTTCTGTCAACTCTAATGTTAGGGAGATCAGCCATCTTGTATTCGACTGGGTTTATTTTCATCAAACAACAATGATTGCACATCATTTGCACCCTCTTAAGAGCTGAACGTAATTGTGGCATCCAGTATTTCGATCGAAAGTCTGCTATTTGTGCCTCTATGCCTACATGATTGTGCTTATAATGATAATGAAATAACAAAGCGGTACTTAAGTCGCTTTTCCTCGGCACGAACGGACTAAATTTATGACTGTATGTCTCTTGAGGTTGTTTGGGTAAATCAACTCTGGAACTGATTCTCATTAATCCATTATTATCAATGAAAACATTTAACTGTAACAATTCTTTGTTGTTGATTCTCTTATTGTTGCTAAGTTTGTCATATTCTACTGGATATACTTCACGTTGAATACGTCGAATGACGAAATGTTCTGCACATTCCCATTCAATCGGAGTTAAGTTGATGAAATCATAATTTGAACGAATTATTTGTCGAGCTTCATCATTATTCCATTGTTTTGTTTTAAGTAGGGGAATAATCGCCTTGAAATAAAATTTTAATGCTCGCCCGATAGCTCTAATAATTTTTGGCCAACGGGATAAAATTGTTGCACTTAACAGGTCAATAATATAATCGCTTGCCAATTCACAATTTACTGGTGGTAATTTGATTTCACAATTAATAACAGAAGCTTCTTGATTGACACTTCCTAAGAAAACTGCTGCGATATTATCAAAATTTGGCTTTTGTACTGGCCAATAGCTTTTTGGAAGCCTCAAAAATCTTGGACCTTGGAACCACGGACTGCATAAATCTCCAAACTGTTGCTTTTGGAATTTTGTTGCTAGATCAGCTGGATTCGATTTTGAGTCAACATAATTCCACTGTTCTGTACCTGTACTTTCTATTATTTCTTCAATTGGTGATACTGCAAATTTAGGCAATTTGATGTTATCATTTTTAATCCAATTTAGTACAATCTCACTATCTGTCCAGTGAAAGATGTCCAGCTTGAAATCCTTATGGAATGATTGAATAGTATTAGAGAGCCTTGCGGATATTAAACATGACAGCATCTCAAGTCGAGGCATCTCAGAAATCTGTGTTTTTGTTTTGATCTTGATTGGAGCTACCTTTGCTTTGGACATAATGAAGCTCACATAACGATATTTGTTTATAGTTGCCACCATGTACGAGACTGCAGCAAATGCTTCTTTGCCAGCGTCACTGAACGTATGCAATTCGAGTGAGCTAGCATCGGTAATGTTGAATGGACTGAACCGTTGTCTTGGTATTTCTAGCGTTGCAGCTATTTGTAGATTATTAAGCCACTTTGTCCATGCCTTATGTTCATCATCGCTAATTGCTTGGTCCCAATTTAATTTGTAACGCCAAGAACGTTGCAGCAGTATCTTTCCTAAGATGATACAATTTGATAAAAAACCTAAAGCGTCAAAAATTCTTGCTATGGTTGAGCATTGATCTCTCTTAGTGGGTTTTAGACCACAATCTTTTACTAACTTTATAAATGAATTTTTATTAAGTTGAAAAGTGAAAACATCTTTTTTAGGATTCCATGCTACTCCTAAAACCTTGGTGCTATAGTTCGATTCTTCCGTTGACATTAACTCATAAAGATCCTGCTTGACATTGTCAGGATTGAGAGCACGCAACACATCCAAACTATTGCTTTGAAAACTGATTAAATCCCAATTGATCGACTTAAAGATTCTAATTGCTCGATTTGCCACTTGAATAGCTGCTTCCGTTGTTGGCTCGCTTGTTAGCATATCGTCCATATACGTAAATTCTTTTATAGCTTTAGCTGCATCGGGAAATTTTTCTTTCCATTTATCTGCGGTTTTATTCTTAATATATTGTGATACGAAAGGACTACATTTAGGTCCGAATAGCATTACTTGTTGAACAAATATTTGCATAGGCTGTTCAGCATTCTGTCTCCATAATATCCTCTGACATTGTTGATCACGTTCACATATCTTGATTCGATGAAACATTGACTTGATATCTGCTGTGAATGCGTATTTATGCAATCGCATTTGCATTAACGGTTTCAATATATCAACCAGTAAGTTAGGTCCCATCAACAATTTATCATTAAGTGAGACATCTTTATATTTTGCCGACGCATCATAAACATTGCGAGTTTTTATTGGAGTCTTATTTTTGTTGACTACTAAAGACATTGGTAGGTATGAAACATTAGGCCATGCTGTTTGAATATCACGATCAGTCGCTGCTCTAACATAATTTTGCTTGGCGAGTTCCAGAAAATTATTGTTAAAAGCCTCCAACAGTTCTGGATGTTTACTTAATTTATTTTCTTGCGCTATTTGTCTTTTGTAGACCATGGGAAAATTATCAGGCAGTTGTGGAATTTCTTTCTGTTCTTTTTTCCATATTAACGGTACTTCTATTGTCCCATCAGGTAAGATTTTCATTTCCTCATCGATTTGTTGCAATGCTGCTTTCTCATCTTTAGTATGATGTGTACCTGTGAGTCTGATGCCTAAATTATCAATTGAATTTGCATGCAAGTATATTTTATTCAACTCTTCTATTACTTCTTGCTTGTCTGTTTCTAATGTTTGTGAATGGTTCATGCTATGACTACTTATGCAGTAGGAAGACGTGAACTTTTCAGGTGCTCCACCATATATTGTATAGCCTAATAAACTTCGTATTGCTATTGGATTATCATTTCCACGTTGAGTTACTGGTTCTATGGCTTCCACCATGTAAGCATGCCTTGATCCGATCAACATGACAGGAACTGCATCTTTATATGATGCAAATGGAATGTCCTTCAAGTAAGGAAATTGTTTCTTAAGACTGTCTACATCAAGCGACCTTGGTGGTAAATTTAAATCATTGACTGCGTAGCAATCATCTAATTCCAACATCTTACAGCCTTTAGATACACCACAGATCTTTAGTTTTATTTTATAAGCATCAGTTCTTTTTATAGTTGAGTCGGTCCATTGCAGATCTAATTGACAATATTCTCCAGTCATTCCAAGATCATCAGTCAACTGCTTATGTATCAATGTAATTTCTGCAGCAGAATCACCTATTGCGAATCCCATTGCTTTCTTGTCGGTGCCATAAAAAATAGTTTTGAAGAGCTTTACGGTGTTATGCACACCTTTATTTGCTTTATTATCAGTCGAATTTGTGACTAGCATTTGATAAGGTTTGGCAGAATCCGTTGAAAATGAATTTGGATCTTCTATTTGATATCCATAAATAACATGTTGTTGTCCTCTTATCACTGATGAACTACCCGATGGCTGTGTTTGAGCTGCTTGAGCATTATTATTTGAAACTGCATTATTGTTAATAGTTTGAGCTTGATTTTGTTGTGCATTGCTCATCCTCTCATTTGCTTTATCCTCATTCGAAGTAGTATGACTTCTTCTTTTCGGTCTTCTAAAATTATTGTAGACATTATTACTTCGATTATAGCTTCCATTTCCTCTATGTAAGGTGACATGGTGCTTAGCCGTGCATCTTGATGTCTCATCGAATTTAAATCCACATCCATTTTTCACACTACAATCTTTTGCTGTATGATCAGTTGTTAAGAGACAGTTAATACATAATCCCTTAGTTCTAACTGCATTATATTTAGCATCCATTCTCATTTCTCGGTAAGTTCTGCACTCAACCGAGTAATGATCTTTCTTTCCACATATAAAGCATTGTTTCGGTATTTCTTTCACTTCGTTCATATCATATCCTATGTACCTAGCGGTTTCTTTATCCCTTAATTCATACTTGTAATTATCATTACTTTTTGTTGGCATTTTATTTGGATAGGTTTGATATGAATTCGTTGTTTTTAGTGAAGCTGTGAGTACTTGAATATTGTTCCCTTTAATCTTAGCTTTATTATCATCAGACTTGAAACTTCCAATCGGTAAAGTTCTAGACAGCTGATTCAAAAATTCAAATTGTGTGTCGAGGCGTTCCATTCTAGTCGAAGCATTGGGGAATTTTTTGAAATAAAATTCATAGTACATCTGTTGATGAAATGGTTCCAATTGGTTATGGATCTTTGATGAGATATTTGAATCCGTTGCTAATAATCCTGCATATGTACAAGCAGACATATAGTTTGCAATATATGTTGTGATTTCTATACATGATGTGTGAGTCAGAGGCTTTGGAAGCTTGACATTAAGCAATTTCTGTTTTGCTGTTTCCAATATTATATTCGAGTTGCCATAACTCTCTTTCAACAATTCCATTATTTGATTAGCTGTCATATAATCCATAAGCGAGTCTACTCGAGCTAAAGCTTGTCCATTTAATGCTTGCCTAATTTGATGCTTCATCATTTCATCTGAATACTGTCCCTCTCTCCAATTACGTTCAACATCTCGTTGAAATGTCAACCATTTCTCAGGCTTTCCATCAAATTCAGAAATTTTTGGCAGATGTCTCCTAATCTCATTCAGAGTCAGCATATTAATATGTTGCATTGTAACTTCCATTTGAGGATTAACAGCTGGCTCGTTTAATTCTTCCAATTGTATGCTATCAACTTGCTGTGGATTATTTCTCGTACTATTAATTAATAAAGGATCTGAACTGCACCTAAATACGCCTTGATTCGTATTTCTGTTGAACCCATTGCCAACATTGTTATGCACAACGTTATTTCTGTAGGATGTCTTATGCAAGCTTTCTATAGTATCCGCAACAACATTGTTCTGCACAATGTTGTGACTAGATGAGGCATTATTCATGCTTAAATTTGTTTTAATCGACGAGATACCAAACAAACTCCTTTGTTGTGATAATGAATCCTTAATACTTTCATCCATAAGTGTTGATGCCTTATTTATATCCAAAACTGCATTTGTGTAACTTGATCTGTTGACTGCTTGAGAAGTGCTAGGTTCTGCACCTGCACTCCTATTGGCTTGTTCCATTATGACTTGAGACTTAAGCAGCTGTTGAAGTTGCATGTTTTGCTTTTCTAAATCTTCACATCTTTTATTAAGTTTGCGAATTACTGCAGTTATTTCTGGAGAAATGATGCTACAATTAGCATTGACATGAATTGATTGATTTGTTTCCTCTTCCGTTTCTTCAGTTGAGGACTCTGATATCTTTTGCTCTGCATTTACTTCCTTAATAAAAAAATTAATTCTCTCATCAAACGACCACAAATGTTTCTTGCTAACTACCAATTCTTGAGCCAACGAATTTAATGGATTGCCGATGCACTTAAAGCATGTCCAGGGAAGATTAGATTCCTTTAATGTTGATATAGAATCACCGGTACATCGTAAATGATATATTTGATCGCAGGAAATGCATACAATCATCTTTTGCATGTCTTCAGAGGCTTGTTCCTCTTTTGTGATTTTGTACCACTCACAATCATTTCCACTTCCACAATGAAAACCATCCTTCACTAAATGGATTGACAGGATGTAGTTGTTAACTGATTTACTTGCTGAATTGCTTGATCGATAAACTTTCTTTGCTGTTTGATCGCTGATAAAATATTCAGCCAAACTCGATATTGTGTTGCTATCCATGATTTATTGAATGTGTCCTTAGTATTTGACAGCTATGAATTAATGATGCTTGCTTTGGTTTGATAATGCGCTTGATAGCGACTTTGTTTCTTGTGCACTATCTGCAAGTGACACGGAGTTTGGATACGTTTAATAAAGCTCCACTTCCTCCTTAATAAATTTATGCAATAATTATTTATTGACTTTTACACGTCTTTCTGCAAGACGGAATTTTGTATGTGTCCTTTAACACGCCTTGATAACTTTTCTGCTTCTTTTCTCTTCGTTTGCTCAATTTCAAGCGTCTTGATAAAATTGTTCCAATTTGAATGTAATGCGTTACTTGACTTAACGACTTTGATCTTGACTGCGCCACTTGACTAGCGACTTAAATTTGTTTGTCTTTTGATCGACGAATTTGACTTGATTTGCGCCTTTTGTATGACGACTTGACTTGACTGCGTCACTTGACTGACGACTTTCGTTTGATCACATTCAATGGATCTTGGAATACCAAAGATCCAGTTATTGTAAATTGAGTAATATAAAACCACAACTGTAGCTCGTTTTGCACGAAACTATAGCAGAAGTGCCAGAAAATGTAAAATGTGTGTCGTAAACGAGCACACGTGCGCTGGAAGTAGATGAGAAGAGAGAAAAAGAAAATGTTTCGAGGTTACCACGTGAATTAATATTATTTTGGCAGTTTTGCGATTTCTTCTGTATATTTCCGTGTCTTTATGTTCCTTCTAGCTACTCCAGTTATCAGCAAGTCCTTTAATTTCCTCCTGATTTAGTTCAATCTTTTAATTTCTCAGCTGGATCTCAGCAATTTTTCAATTTTCGCGGTTTTCCAACTTTTTCACTTTTTAAATGGCTTTACAGAGCCAATCAGTTTAATTAAATGTTTTTTGACTTTACGATATACAATAATTTATTGACTTTTCTTTTAATTTAGCTACTTGACAATTATCCAACCACATGGATGATAAAAATTAGTTTCTCACCAAATTGATTAATAATTTCTAAAAAAATGTCCTTAAGTGTAACTTTACTTTCCTTTAATTATAAAATTTGTGTTTTACGTTTAATTTAAGTGAGTATTTTTATTATTTAATTAATTTATAATTTTTAGAAATTATGTGTTTCTTTACACTTTGGACTACGCTTTTAAAAAAGGGGGCTCAACATTCGAGCCAATTTGCCATTGCAAATTGAAATATAAAAATGCCGTTACAGTTCAAAGTGTAGGAAATCGTTAAAAATGTATATATTTTAAAGCAAGATAACTTTAATTGATTTACTGTGTAATTATTCTTGTAATTAAAATGTAATTAAATGAACCTGTCATTCTTGTGATGACAATCAATGAAGATCCAACCAAAAATCATGCATTAGATGCTATGAACACCCAGATACCGAGCCAAATTCTAATTCCTTATCAATCACATCACCAACCATCCCCAAAAATTATTTTATTTTCTCACGAAAATTCCATTTCGCATATCAACTCGTACAACTATAATAAGTAGGTGTCGGAAGCTGAGAAAATTTAGCAAAGCTCATGCGACGTCGATGATGATGAAGATTCCAGCAAACGATAGAATGACTGCACATGACCCAAATAGTTCGGTGGGATACAAAAAAAATAAATCGAGTTAAAATGCCAAAGGCGGGTCAAACAACTGAGATTCACATTATTCTCTCATTTCTCTGTTTGAAGCATAAAAAATGTGCTTAAATGCGATTAATGTCTTATCCATATGAAAGCCCGCCGGCGCCAAATACAAAATTATAAACACATATAACACAAACACACAAAAGCATAATACAATTTAATATTAAGTGCTATGGATGAATAGAGAACGGAGCATCGTGAAATTAATTTCTATATAGCACTAGTTTTACGGGACATTAAAGGATAGATGTGACCAGCTTTTGTGTGTTGTTGGGGATAATCAAAATCGTAAATTTCTTGCCTTTATTATTTCATCGTCCTCTTCTTCTTCAGTTTCTTCTGTTTATAAACTTTTTAAATACCAAATTATATGCTTTACATATTATTATAAAATTTTATATCAAAACTCACCCAGATGGAAATTTTATTATTTTATGAGCCTTGAAGTGGTGTGAAAATTTTATAACGAAAATTAATAAGCATTTTTTAATTTTGTATAAGGGAGATCGTGAGGATAGCTTTACAATTACTTTTAATATGGACATTATTATGACCTAGCTAATTAATATACACAATAAATATTTAATTGGTTAAGCATGACTGAATATTATGACGGTTGTTTTAAGCCCAACCCTCAATTTATTGAATATGGTTATGCGGAATTGCTTTTTGGGGTGTTGGAAGAGTTTTAATGAATTTTTAAAAATTAATTGGGACGATGCTGTGCAGTAGTATATAAGTTTGTGTACGTTAATTACTTACTTACTGTAACCATATTCCTATGTGGAGCTTAGGCTATAACAAAAAGCTTTAGATTACTTGAGAGCTCTGACTCAAGACATCAACAAGGACTGGAAATCGAAAGATAAGCTTCTAGAGAAAGCAGTTCAACAAAAAGATACAGATGAAGAAGTACGGCTCACCTAGTTTGTACAACGTCTCTGTTCGTACAGTAATCTGACATTTTTTCATCACTGTTCTTTGTCATGTAGCTTTTTTAGCTCTGGGGTGTCTTTTCCCTTGCGGATTCTATCCGAGAGCGGTGAAACAAACTTCTTTTTCTGTCCAATCAGTGATTTTTCTTTGACATTTTTCTTTCGAAGTGTATGTCCGATCCAGCCGTACTTCTTCATCTGCATCTTCTTTTTGATGTCTTGTTGACCTACTTTCTCTAAAAGCTTATCATTCGATTGCCAATCATAAGGATTCCCAGTCCTTGTTGATGTCTTAAGTCTGAGCTCTCAAGTGTTCTAAAGGCTCCATTTGAAAGCATTACGAAGTTCTATATTCATTTTGATTCCATTTGAATTCTATATGTCTGCTTTTGGATAACTTGTGTCATTCGACTGAAGTTACTAGGTACCAAATTCTGATCTTCAGTGACTTTTTGAAAGCTAAAATATCAATAGTACCACTTAAGATTTAACAAAAGACAACATCTTAAATTGGAGAACTTAAAAACATTCCTAACTGGGAATCAAAACATTAATTCTCATTCCTTAATATTTATAAATCACAGCTTCATAATTTCCAAATTCTCTCTTCCTCAAAAACAAAAAATGATTCCAAACTACAAAAAAGGGGTTTTCTCTAAATCATTTTTCCGTCCATTCCATCTACTTCAGATTCACAACATTAATTTTTTTTTCTCATGATTTTGTATCAATTTTTTATGATTGAAAAAAAAATTTTTGAGCTAATTTAAGTTTCGACTCTGCGAAAACGTGCCTCCGTTTTTATTCATAAAGAAATTAACCGACATGCAACTTTATAACTGCCCTCATGGGCATAAAACCCGAAAATAAATGTGTGGATTATGGTAGATTTTTTTTAATGATCTTTTAATTGCAATTTATATTTTCGCTACAATGTTACACATAATGATGAGCACACAGAACAAGTCGATTCTTCATCATTTCCTTTTCCATTAAAAGACAACAAAACATTCATCAATGTAGAACCTCAATCTGATGCCGTTATGTCTTGTGGATGCTATAAAAATGGATAAACAACAATCAGCCCACCGTTAGGTCTTTGGATGTGATGATGAAAAAATTATTATTACTTTGAGTCAGATTGATGGGAAATAATAAAAGTAAATTGAAGATCATAACGCATGTGCCTATAAAATGCAATTTATATTATGATAATGGGATATAAGTGGGATGATAGACTGGAGGAGGATGGAACTGCATCATATGGAAGTGGAAGCTTATTGCTTCATATTCTTATCAGTGATGTAGCTAAGGTTGCAGCTATATCCGTTCTTCCTGTTAAAATGTATTTCAACAGTTTGTAGAACCTCTCAAAAATGTAGCATTAATGCTGCTCTCTTTGATTTCAATTCCAAAAATAATTTCACACTAGATTCAACCTTAGTCAATTAAAAACTACCGTTAAATTCCCTCAAGAAACAATTTATCAATTTTATTTAATTTTTTTTTCATAAAAATCATATTAAATAAACTTAGAAGAATCATTTACTGTCAGTAGCTAAACCACAAATTAGAGACAAAAGAAAATTAGTCTGTATTTCATAAAAATACAGAAACTTGTAAGAGATTCCGAAAAAGGTTTCTCGAGAACATCTTTTTTTTTCGCTGTTAATTATGGGCCTGTTTAAATTTTGTATATACATTATAAAGTTTTATGATCATCACATTTGGGTTGGATATGTGAGAGATGTGAAATGATTTTTTTTTGAAACATTGTGGGAATCGGAGGGAATGGTGTGATTCATTTTAAGAGTAATTGAAGATTTCAATTAATTTATGACATCTAGAATTGATAGTGTCTATAGTGACTCTAGTAGTCAAGTGACTGAACTACTGAAAATTAGCATTCTTGAATATTTTTTGAAGGAATGTGTTCGAATCCTACTTTTATGCTTTGATTAAATGCTTATCCGGGTCTCACCTCAATTGACTTTCAGCCATTGATTTGCCAATGATGTCATTAATAAGTCATTCAAGGAAATTGCGCCAAAAAATCATCCACAGCCATGCATTCCATCCACAAAAAAAATTCCTTATCTTCCGATCATGAAATTTATTTTCATTTATCTCGAAAATATTGAAAAATAATTTTTTAAAAACTTAAGTATTAACAAATGTTTATCGATTAAGCAGGCAAGAAAGACGATATGAAGAGAAATTCCTTGAAATTTGATAATCAAATTTATCACCACGAAAATTTTTTATCTCTCATTTCTTCTTTCTTTATGAACGAAAAAAAAAACATTCTAAATTAATATTTTGTAATTAAGTAAATTAATCATCACACTTTTCCTTATATTTTTTTTAACCACATTCCATTAACACTGCCGCAATTTTTTTATCATCTTGCCATTTTCAGCTGCTTTCATAAAAAATAAAACTTTTTATCTCATTTTATGACCAATAAATTAGTGTCGTGGGGTGAAAAATAAAATCCTTTTTTCTTAAAAGCCACAAAGTTCTTAATTGCTCCTCCATCCTTAGATCCAATCAATGAATGCTAACCGCAAGCTGAGCTTCATCTAATGAAGAAAAAAATTTGTTAGATTGTCGGTGCTGATGAGGTGTCTAGAGTAATATTTTTTTTGGTGAATTATTACCATCAGATGGACATTGAACAGCGAGAATCGATGAACATTTAACTTCTATATTTTTCACCTGTCTTCACTGATTATTGAGCGATATCTCATGAGTCTATTGTTTTGATGAAAAAAGAAGGGAGATGAAAAATTTGAGTGGTAGGAAAGTGCAACTAGAAACTAAGTTTGAGGTTGATTTGGACGCATTTTTGAAGATATTTCTGGGTTTTTAAGTATACAAACCTTCTATGGGACTTTAAAGACCTTTGTAGAGCTTAATAGAGCTCTAAAGATTACTTTAAACCTTTAGAGACCCTATAGACACCTTTTAGAGTTTTTATAGACCTCTATAAACCTCTAAATAGCCCTATAGACACATTTAGACTTCTAAAAACATCTATAAGTCACTTTTGACCACTATACACATCTATAGGTCACTTTTGACCTCTATAGAACTCTTAGGTCACTCTTAGAACTCTATAGACCTCTATAGACCTCGCAAATGCATTGTTTAGCTATTCATGGATATCAATTCTCTCCAAAAAATAAAATTCAATTTTTACCCAGACAAACTGACCAAAACAGCACTAAAATAAAAAAAACCTCAAGGATCAAAGCTTCTAAATGCAAGTAGTAGGAGTGCACGCAGCGAAACAAAAGAATTTTTCTCCAAAAATAATACAATAAAAAAAGAAGAAGTTTAAAGTGTTGATTTTAATGTTGATTTCCTTAGAAATTCTCTTTCATTTAAAATAATTAATTTCATCACATTATTACGTGAAATGATCGTAACAATAGGGAGTCCGAAAAAGAACTTATTTATTCTCTTCATTCTATTGTTATTACATAGACAAAAAAAAAAGAGCAAAGAGAAGCAGAAAAGTGTGTAAGTTTGATATTTACAAGAATAAATGTTTAATAACCTCAACAGGCCATGTGTATGTGCCTCAAATGAGACAATGGTTAGGGATAGGGAATCATCAAGGCAGAAAACGGTTTTTGCTGCTGCATCCCTTGTAGATGTTTTGTGTTTGAACGGGAGTAAGGTTCGAGAATATTTACGAAATTCAAAATTATTGTCAATCTAGATTAGGTGGTTGATTTCAGATACAGAGACTAGAATGAAGTTTATTTAAGATTTTTGCAAGGATATCGAGCAGTAGGAGCAAGATTGACTCCCAACCAAGTCCTTCGTCACGTCTAAACTCTAAATAATCATGCCAGATAAAGAAACGTTAGAATAAACTGTAAAAACCTTACGACATCCTGAATTTTCACCTAAAATCTCACAAACTTCACCTAAGGACCCTTTCCACCATTTAGATAATTCAACAAACATTTCATTCCATCCCTCATCGCATCACAATAACTCCGATCTGTTTAAATTTTTCAAAAAATGAAATTATGGGCGACTCAAAAATAATAAAATTTCAGAATCTATTAAGCACATTTCAGCGAGCACATTTAAATGGTAGATAATTCCTATGTGAACATTCACATGACTGCCTACCACTTCACAAGCAGCTAGTTTTAATTATGTTGCAATGGATTAAAAATTGCCCCTTCTAGATTTTTTTCGTTCCCTACTGCTTTATTTTCCACAGCGCTGCTCACATTTTTAACACGTAATTTAAATAAATAGTAATGTGAATTGTATTCAAATTGTATGGTTTGTGAAGGTAGAAAAATGGCAGAAGTGGAAAGAAAACAAGCAAACCATTTTAATATTTCATGCCATGCTTCTGCCTAATAAGCTGCTAATTAGAATAACAAATTTTCATTTAATGGTTGATGGATGAAATTTATGTACGTGTGGAATTTTTTTTTCTGGCTTAATATTCAGACCCAGTAAGGATGATATTGGTGGGATGTGACTGGTCTGGTTTAAGATTTTAGAAATTATTGAACAAGCTAGACTAGAATTGATGGAGTAAGGGATACCAAATTATAAGTTATAACCACCGACCCGAA